GTTTCTTTATTCTTTTCAAGGTTTCGTCACAATGTATGTATTGCACTGTGGGTGAATCTCTGAAAATAAATAAAGGAACACTAGTCTTGTACTTTCATGTGTTCCCTTATTCGCATCCATGAGTATATCTTCAAAGTATGACTTGTCATGGACTTCAATACAACAGCATGAGCTATTGATTTAACCGTTTTGAATTGCGCGTTTGCACGTGTATTGTGAGCATTTGATAGCGACAGGCAATGGTTAGTTGTAAACGAAGCTTATCGTTTCAGCAAAACCTTCTATCAGCCGTTCAAGTTCGCCCATGCCAACATGACTCTTCTGACATTATAGTTCGATGTTGGTTTCAAGTTATGTTCCGTATTTTTAGTTCTTAAACAGAAGTGGCTAATAAACACGAAATCATTTCAGTTTTGCATAGGTTTCTTTTCCTGTTAAAAATCGCCCACTGTGTACATTTATAATTAGTACGGAGAGGCACACCACTGGTTTTGTTCACAACAGCCTCTAAGGCGTGAGTTATTGGCTTAGAAGTTGTGGCTTGACAAGCGCCCGTGACATATTCAATAAGAACAAATCTTACCCAGTTGACGGATTAATACGAGAATCGAGAAATCACGACAGTTGTTGAAAACGTTATCGGATTAAAATATCATTCACATTCACCGGAAGATTGCGCCCGAAAGAATTAATTCACAAATAAGAAAATATTCCATCGACATGCCATAATCTCCGTGGAAAATATCCAATCAAAGTCAGTGCTTGAGGTATTCAAACGACAAAATGTCAATAGCATGGACCTTTTCTTCTGATTATTTTTATTTACTTTCTTTCGAAATAATATCGGAGCATGTGTCAACCATGTTTACGAGGTTAAATATTGTTGAAAATTGAGTACAATCATCCTTGAAACATTTGATACACATTCTAAAGATTTGTTAGGCAAAACATGTAGGAAGCTATAGCATTTAGGTGTATGGTAAACAGTTCATCTCCTCTAATGCTTCATTCTAGCACGACAATGTGTGATACTCGATTCTGATTGGCTAAGAGCTCATCAAAACCGTACTTAAATGTCAGTTTAACGACCGCTAATTAAAGTGACCGATTCACCGCGTATGAATACAACGAACTCGTTGACCCTATTGTTTGTAAACAAACATGGCGGACATCGGCAATTTCTATCTCGGCAGCATCTTTGGTGTTTTTGAAGTAAAAAGCGAACGGTGTGAAGAAGACTTTTTTTACCCTAATCCCAGTGAAGAAACTACGAAGCTGGAAAATCCGTCAGCAGCGGAAAAGCGACAGTATATTCAAAGCGGGTCCAGATCTACGTGTGTTGACGTCGACAACACACGTCGGCCCACACGTCCTAACCTGACCGCTTCCGTCCCGGCCGTAATGCCCAGTCCTTCCACTGTCAATGTATCCCACATAAAACGTGGCATGTCAGGTCTTTTCCAAATTGGGAATAGTAGGGTGGTTATCAACAATTATTTCCGTGAATAAAGTTAGCGGCGACTAAACTTAGCGAGTTCACGGCTTGCATTTGGGCGAGTCGATTGTCATACAGTAGGGGAGATCAACAATTCGCTTGAGAAAAATCAAATAATTGTACTTGCTCACAGTATAAACTGTATTTTTTTATATTTATGTATGCTACTTGTTACAAATACAAGCGTACTGGTTCCTGAAATATAGCATTTATGTTTTTGAAAATGTCTTATTTTGTTCATTACACAACCTGTCCCTCAACGGGACGATTCTAAGCGATTTGCGCGCATAAACAGTTCGGTTTTAAAACGCTTATCAGTCGTGCTAGAATGAAGATAAAGCTACTCTGTTTTTTAATTTTGCGGTCCTTTATCGTTGATTTAAGACTGCTAAATGTTTAATTAAGCGGTCTTAAATCAACGATAAAGGACCGCAAAATTGAAAACAGAGTAGCTTTATCTTCTAAATAGAAGCGACAAAACCCTTTCCACATCTAGAAGAACGTTTTGCTAAAAGCAGTCGCTGTCAATTACTACATTTTGCAGGTTCAACTGGCACAGGAGTCGATATGGTAGCAACATTGTCATGGTTTCGATTCTTCAAATGGATACAATTTGGGAAGCCTATTTCTTGTGTCCCCGTCGTGAATGAGTGAGTTTGGTTTTACGCCGCTTTTAGCAATATTCCAGCAATATCACGGCGGGGGACACCAGAAATGGGCTTCACACATTGTACCCACTGAACCCGGGTCTTCAGCGTGACGTGTCGAATCCGGGTCTTCAGCGTGACGAGTCGAATCCGGGTCTTCAGCGTGACGAGTCGAATCCGGGTCTTCAGCGTGACGAGTGAACGATTTAACCACAAGGTCACCCCACCGCCCGCTAAAAGCAGAGTCGATTGTACAATTGTGACTATGTTATGAGTAATATTTGTTTCAGTGGTATTACAGCTGTATTGTTTTGTAAACAAATCGAGTCTTGGACATGCAACACTCAACCCATACAGTGTATGGGAACAGCACACAAACACATTCGATTGTGTTTATCTTACGATTCATCCGCGAAGTACAGTGCGTTTTGGCGATCAGACACTAACGTTTCTATTCTGGAAACGTTTCAGAAGTAACAAACAAATGTACAACGGATTGTACTATTGATAAGTATGAGACGAACTCCTTTCATATGCAATGCATTGGACAATAAGTACAGTTAGTATATCATTTATGTAATTTTGCCAGCTTTTTACCCTTTACTGAGTGGGTAATCCTTTACATCATGTATGTATTTTTTCATGTTTAACGCCGCACTCAAGAATGCCCAGTACATAATCGATCCTTGATAAGACAACCAACCCTATCTGATATCATGTGTTTTGATCTTTGCAAGTGGGATTCAGTGACGAGCATCAAATAAGTCAGCAGCCTGACCAACATTTCTCATTAGCCGACTCTTACGACAAGCTTGGTTAACTTTACTGAAGACCAGTTCTCCTTCAGATCTCCGCAAGACCTGTCGGTGGAGATGTGTAAAACCCAGCAATGTACTCTGTTTATTATATTATCTGTCACCCTTGATATGGGTTCAAAAATCTTAAATCGAATGTGCTGAGATAACCTAGCTCCGGAATTTTAGGAATGCAAGGAAATTGATCGGCGATGTTAGCAATAGACTATATACGTGACACAACTTCCACCCATTCCATAGATCATTCGTTAAAAATATGACTGGCCAGGGAAGGCTTTTCTAGATTTTCTCAGGCGTTTCAGTGCATTTATAGCCTGCTGGAGTATATAACGTCGATAAACGTGTATGAAGACGACAATGTTGGAGTTTTCTTTCATGCTTAAACTTACAAGGCCAAATTAAAATGGGGTCTAGCATACCAAACAGAGGTATGAAAATGTACCTCCAAATGAATGTATGCTTGTATTGTAATAATTGCAAGGCTTTATGTCGTTTTAAGAGTTCTACAGAAGTAAAATAGTTTTGAAAGATGTTCAAATTTTATTCAGTCTGACAATGTCACCAGGTTGTAAACATCTCAAACACCAAATGCTGATATTGTCTTTTAGCTGGCAAGAAAGCCTGAAACAATCGAACAAAATGTACGGCCTAACGTAATGTTAATATATAACATATTACGTATAGTCAATTATTCACATGAAAGAGACAACAATTTGTATCTGCAGTAAATACGAATAAATGGCAAGGTTCAAGTGTCTGTGGGTGGGAGTGGAACTGTCACCTGTAACAGTATTGTGCACGTGGCTGACAACTGTGTGTATTGCGCACGTGCATTGTATGCTGAGGCAAAAACAGCCTCTCAAATGTATGTGGAACGTCCTAAGGATATAGGGCGCCCGCTGCGCACAGATGCGCCTCTGCGCATCTGCATCCCGTATGTATCTACCAGCGTCAAATACACGAACACAACTACACGTCATCGATTAAACGTGACTGCTCTTCGTTCTTTAACACATTGAAACCGCGGTGTATATCAATAGACCATCACCTAAAATGTTAACAAGAACTGTTTTGATAACTGTATTGAAAAGAATGTCGAGAACTGTGCGCTTGAATATGAGAGGTATGCAGGGGCGCTTCCACGTTATCTAATGTAATGTGTTCCTTTAGCCTTTCGCAGGTGCACCTCTCTGGGGATTTTGGCAATGGAATCCATGTCCAAGACCAAGTATAAGAATCTTCTTGTACGAACTCAATCACCTGTACCTATAGCGCCTAAATACTTCTTGTATCTACTTCTCTATGTCGCTATAATAGCTCTGAAGAAGTGTGTGTGTGTGTGTCTGTCTGTCTGTGTGTGTGTGTGTGTGTGTGTGTGTGTGTGTGTGTGTGTGTGTGTGTGTGTGTGTGTGTGTGTGTGTGTGTGTGTGTGTGTGATATTCTTTAAACGGACTACTTCACTCACGAACACAAGTTTTACCTTTCATGATCATGTCCCGATTAACCAACAAGTGGAATTTTAAAACTTAATCTTTAAATCTAAATTGTTTTGTCGTTATGGACGAAAGATACAAACCTTAGCCTGAGGTACAGATTTCGCGGGTTCTAATCCCGACGGAGGCTTTAAATCAATATAATCCATCATTAATTAAATGAGAGCAAAGAAAAAAGCTACGTCTGAGTCAAATTATCTTTAACCAGCAATGGGGTAACTAAAAAGGCGGACAAAGACAAAGGAGAGATGGCTTGAAACACTTTTTTATCTGTTAGTGCTTACTTGGCTAGCGTTCAAGCAGCTGAAGCATCTTTCATCTCCAGAGATTTTGAGTTCAACTCAACCGTTCTGAGTTAAATACGTACGGCGCATTTCCTTGGGCAGACCAAAACCTGTTGTCTTGGGTTCGAATCCGGTTTCGCCATGATTATGTTTCTACGTTTTTCAGAACGATACCAGTGCACTTGGGTTTCACGATTTGCATCACTCCGGGCTTTCGTCTCAGCTGACAAGGGGTGATCTCCAAGTTTTCACCAAATGGGACTTACCATTACATGGAATGTAGGGGCGGATAATCCAACTGCAACTATCCACACACAGGGTAGTATCTTTTTGGTATTTCCCAAGGTGCACAGAGTTCGAGCCTTCATTGGGTGGACGATGACAATGTACCTAAAACATATAATTTAAGAAAGCAACTTAATAATTAGCTTTTGAATTGCCATGTGTACAAGATAATGAAGGGAAATATCATCAGCCTTCCGATGAAATATGTGTGAAAGAATTTGATTTGATATACAGGAATACTTCTATCCGTGATGCACCAACCGAATATGGTTGTTTTGTGGTTGTCAAAGTGGACAACCGGCCTGTGGCAAAGGTGTTGCCCCGCTGTAGATAACATCGCTTATTGGTTGATACCATATTTCGATAAACAACTTTGTTTTGCGCCATTCCTTCAGCAGAATACCAACGAAAAGTAGTGGCGTTGCGTAATTGTTGCTTGCTATACACAAGTTGTTTTTATGAGCACCTTGTGTGCTGTTCACATTAACAAAAACACTCGAGTATGTATTGTGCCCTCAACAAAAATATACACGTGCCATTTGTGAATCCCGGCTTTAAAGTGCATTATTTACTTTCAGAACAAAATATTGTTTATTGACCTTTATATGAAGCAGAGTAACTTTTTTTAGAGTTATGAATTGCTGATTTTGATTGTTTGGTGAGCCGTATATCCAGTTGTTATTTCACCTCATTACAATTTTCAAGGGAACTGTCCCAAACGCGTGTCTCACGTTGTTTTGGAATAATCACATACACAATACAACGACACATATGCAAGTAACGATTTTATAAATGATAGCGTCATCGGTGGCAGGCTAACAAAATATGTCTTGGAATATAACCCACTATGGAAATACGGATAATTGTATTTGTCTGTGAATGAAAGTGGTGAAACAGCTGGCCCATTACGAACATGCGAAAAAACACACTATCCTAATGAGGTTCCTGTGCCATTACACCTTGGCATTGCATTATGAATGAACACACACCAGGAAACCAGATGAGGCAATGTTAACCTTCTTGCAGCTCAGAGACATCAATAAATCGTGAGACGTTTTTTAAATCAGGTAAAATATTAAAGTAAAACTTCATCCACGTTTCATATGAATGAGAGAATAATTGATATAGGTACACTTTTTGTTAAAGCAGGCATGTATGAAGAAAAACGTTCTGCTTTTTTGTATGAAAAATATATAACGCTCATGAGTCAGGCAATCAGACATCCGTATGGTACACATTTGGGACCAAATGAATTGAAGTGAAATATATCTATCTATTAACTGATATGACAAAATCTGTGATAGTTCCATGCAGGTTTCAACATGCCTGATTTGAAGAATGGCAATCAGCATTAATAGAAACCACTGGGATGCTTGCCGCAGATATATATTTTGGTAAAGTTGACAAAACCCAGGAGTAAGCATCAGGTTGTGCCTTTGTCATTATGAGTGAGTGAAGAGGTTGTGTTTGTTGTTGAGTGGGTGAGTGAGGGAGTACGTGTTTGGCTGTGTGGGTGGGTGGGGGTGGGGACAGAATTTCGGCAGATAACGGATAAACGCATAGGGTTATATATCATGCACACCGACGATAACAATGGTTAAAGTAACGGCCCGGCTTTCCCTTCATCAATGTCACAATATGCATATGTTTACAACTTATGTTCCTTCACAGCGTTGTGATCTATAAAAATTCTTCATTTCCGTATTTTTTGCCTGTCCTAGCCATTAATAATTGTTGACGTTCTTGTGTAATTTAGCCTGACAAAGCGATCCCCGATATGGAATATGTCGTGTTAAAATCTCCATGTTGCCAGAATCAATTGGAATATTTTGATAAATGATCCAGCTACACCCTGGGCCCACAATATGTTGATCCACCTTAGTGTTATCTGTGATCAAATATTATCCTTTCCCATCAACCAACGGCATTTTCATTGATTACATCATCCAGGCTGCGACTTAGTACTGATATTTATGTAACAGAGGTGATGGCCAATGTCATTTTGGGGATTCAAAAGAGGACTGGATTTTGTTCAAGTGGCCAATACTGACATTTTCCAGACACACTTGGCCACGATTCCCAGCCGAGATGTTACCTTCATTGATTCGAGTTCCCAAACTGTTTTGTTTGGGGAACAGAGTACGTTATGTTACACGTTTGAGCACAGGGCTAGTTTCATTCAATAACTTTGGACGAATACATATCGATTGATAGAGTGATAGACGCTCCTGGATTCCTGTATAAAGATACTCTGCGATACGAGGAAACGTAATTACTGAACAACAACCTGTCTTTCTTTACTCCAAAGACATGAACCACAGCAATGAATATTATTAATCTATTGCACACAGATTTATGATAAGAGGAATAGCTTCATATTTCTGTGGCCATTTGCCCCTTCACGTATCCTATGTCGGAGCATTTAGGTCCACGTCTCACAGTCATCGATGTACTTAATACTTATCTTAAACTGAATGCAACAAGTATCACATCATGGTGTTGAGACCATTGTTTGTTGAGGTTGCATCATTAGCCGGGGCGTGTGTCAATTCTTGAATCAGAAATGCTCTGCGATTGAAGATACGACATTACTATTTTTACCATTATTTATTGTAAATAACGCTTGTATTGTGACTATACAGTGCTTTAACAATACACGAAGATTAGCCAATGTTGGGCAAAGTTTGGAATTTCTCTGTCATAAGTTTGCATTGTTTCCTTCATCGTCTTCGGCATTTGATCTGGAACGGTCAAAGGTTCCAGCAAGACATATTTACCATCTAGAGGTCATATATGTTGTAACATCCAATCAAGCGAGTGAAAAGTATTAAGAACACTTGCATGATGCCCAGCACTTGTAAGCGTAAACTACAGTAATCGAATGATAAGTCGAGAGAACAATAACTCAACTTGAAAGTCACTGTACAGATACCTTCAAAAAGTTGTCTTTTGTATACATTTGTTTGGGTTTTTTTTTCGGTAAATGAGGACATGGAAGGATTGGAGTACATGTAGCTTTGAAATATCAGGTGAGGTGAGGTGAAATTGGATTTAACGTCGTACTTGAGAATATTTCGCTCATATGACGACGTGCATGCGTGTGTGTGTATGTGCGGCTGCTTGTTCTAGCCCAGACTGAAGCTGGTTTTATAGTGCTAGCCCACTGAGATACCATGCCGCAGTGAAGCATGGATACCCCACTCAGACACATTATACTGACTCCGAGCCGACCAGTCCTTGTTGTACCCACTAATGCCGAGCGCCAGGCAGGGACCAACAAGGACCATATTTTAACGTCTTTTGGTATGACGCGGTCGGGTATCGAACCCGCGACCTTCCGCTCTGCAGGCGGATGCTCTAACCACTACACCACGGAAGCGGTCTTTAAATATCAGGAACCGGTCGTAATAATCAGGAATCAGTCGTAATAATCATATGTACTTTCAACGTCACCTTCCGTTTCCCATATCACACTATTCGTCATACGATACACTACAGAAAACAACTGTTACAGGTTTTGGATTTGTTGTTTAACGCCGCACTCAGCTATATATATATATATATAATATTTCAGCTGTATGACACCGGTCTGTAGATAATCGAGTCTGGACCAGATAATCCTAATATGATCAACAGTATGAGCTTCAATGTACGCAGCTGGGATCCGATGACATGTGTCAACATACCAACTGACCAACCGATCCCGTTAGTCGACTTACGACAAGTATGGATTACTGAAGACCAATTCTAGTCATGAACTTCACATATTGAAAACAACAGGCAACTTAACCTACTACATGTGGAGTTAGTCCTAGCCATCATTATCCTAGCCTGTTCTATTTGTCATATTGTCAGATGTATATTGTACCAAGTCTGTTCCAAGCTATTGTGATATATGTCTTGTAGCGCATGGATCTGATTTGCACACCAAATTTCAATATATATTACACAATCATTTTATCCGTATTTTGATTCTAGGTGTATAGTTCATTTAATGTCTTTAGAGCCAATCAGTGTTAGATAAAACATATCAAATGTGTGTTCGGTTTGGATGTAAAACATTACATATTTAAACATGTTTAAATCTGAAGAAGCCTCGTATGTGTTTTCAGCACATTTTAAGCATGTTAATGTAGATATTTCCAAGATATTTCATATTTCGATGTATTTATCAATCATTATGTGTTTCTATTTTGCTTTTTTATTTAGAATAGTGAAGACTGGATACTCTTTTGCACTGACGTTATGTATGCAGTCCAAAGAATAATCATAAAATGTAAAAATCACACTGAATTCAATTGCAGATTTTGAAACACCGTTAGAAGTTATTAAAACCCTCTTGGGAAATATGTTTTATGGATATATTTCTTTTCAAACTTGGTTTTCATTTTAAAATGTTTCCATGAGACGTTTGTATGACAAAATAGAGACTGTAACCCTATATTATGCTATACCCACCCTCCACACCAGAGCCCATACCATGACGTATATCTGAAGTCCCAAGGCTAAAGAAATAACACAAAGAAATGGAGAATGTAAGGACGTATGTCCTGTGCAATAAATCAGATCAATTCTGAGAGCTCTCTAGAGATAGGCGTTGGACAGAATGTGATTTTTAAGAACTGACTGGTTGTTACAGGTGATTTTAGGGTTCCTATTATTTGAAAAGTTGTTGACAAGTGAGGGTTTTGAATAAAAAGCATGGTGCCAGCATGGAGCCAGAGATGGTCACTTATGCAGCTTCAAAGCTTTTTCTCTATTCATATGTGAAAAATAGTAACCTTATAGATTCTTTAGGGGATGGAAGATCACAAATCCAACTCGTAATTTTATAGTTCAGTTAGCTGCGCATATCTACAATATATATACACAATTACATTTCAGTCATAAACCGCAGATTGATTCCGGGTAGTATTTATCAGTGGGACAATAACAGCCATAATTCAAATGTAAACCAGAAGCGTTCCCTATGGAGCCAATAAATGGGAGCTTGAGGGAATGCATTATTTCAGGGAATATTCTCAACGAGACGTGAGAAACATAAAAGAAAGATTCACCTGTATATTACTAAATCAAAGATTCTCCCATTTATTACTAAATTAAAC